TTCAAGTGCGTGCTCATATTAGTAAAGCGACAGTTGTAGCAACGTCTGCGCATGGTGGTTCTCTAAGCACCAACACTGGCCTCAGTCCACTCCTCACATTCACTTTATTCTGTTCCAGCAGATGAATGATTGTAACCTGACCCTTTTCTAGATAGCGAGTCAATGAGACATGAAAGCTGGCATGCTTTAAGCCCCATATACACGAAAAATAAAAATAAAGGAAAGACTTTTAGAAATAGCTGTAAGCGACAAACAAAACTTCAGTTCCTGTTAAACATTTTGAGTCTCACAGATAACATCTTACAGTCAGATTGCTATGAAACTAGATTAACGGATTAGTGTACTACATCCAGTTTACATTGGGGGTTTTAAGTGGCATGAATGTCACTTAAAACTGAACCATCTTTTAGGTAGACAGATCAACATGGTTACTTGTCATGCCCTGAACACAGCACTTTTAACTGTCATTAGAATTTGCATGTATTCAGTTGAGCATTTATACTGATAGAATCAGAGTTGATAGATCATGGATAATAATCTGACGTTCAAACTTGTTCAGTGGGGAGAAAAGTGGTGTGGACTTGCTATTATTATTTATAAAAGTTGTGTTTTGAGGCCTCTCACACTTGCTTTGTTAGTTTTCTTCAGCCCGTCACATGACAGAAACATGAGATCTGGCAACCCTGATGGATCTGACGCTAACCAAACTAAAGCAGTTGTTGCTATGGAATCATTATTACTGTTGTTATTATTGCTGGGTGATTTTTATGCCTGGTCGCTACAAGTGTCACTACTTTTCTTGTGGGGTGATGTGAGTCCTTTGGTTTATAAGATTAGATATTTTTTTAACAGACTGTGTGCTTCTATGCAAATTACCCCTCCCTCCGAGAGGGTGTTTGGTTGCTTCCAGCTACCGCGCGATCAATTAAACGGTGAGGATCGTGGAGTAGTCGGCAGCGGCTGAGGGAGTTCTGACCGTAGTATAAGGTACGAACAACCACTTACATTACACGAATTTAATGCTTTATTTCAGTTTCAAGATATCGAGAATTTCTTTGGTTAAATTAATTTTAGTGGTTAATTAAGTAATCGCCATTAAGCTAGCTCATCGTCTTCTGTTGCTATTTGAAGATAAGTAGTTTTATATTTAAGAGCGCGCGCGCGAGCGAGAAAAGATAAAACTTTGGTTCCGTGTCAGTTATCTTTTCACAATAAAGAGGTTGCAAAGTATTTCCCATAGATTCATAAAAACACTTAGAGAGAAAACAGGAATGACAAAGTCAAGTGTTTCAGATGCTTTGAACCGTTTAGAGTGTCCGTTTGTAGCCGGTTTAAATCGGTGTTAATTATGAGTGTGACTCAGTCAAGCAGTGAAGCGATTTTGTTGCTTCCATCGTTTGTCGGAATTGTTTTCTTATATGTTTTGCAAAGCATCCTGCTTTCCCGTTGAGTGTTGAAGTGTGTTCCTATTTAGGAATTATCTTGCGATCATGGTTGGGCTTGTATCATCATTGTTTGGGGAAGGGAACAGAAATGCATGGCATTGCTTTGTTCAGTGTACAGTGTCACAGTGGCTGCATTTTAAGCCTCAGCATTGATAGCTGTTGCTTTCTCTTGGTTCTAGGTTGTAATAATGCTTTTAAATACTGTAACGTTTCCTATTTTCATATGAGGTCTATGGGGGCTGACGCTAGCTTCAAGTGGGACATAGAGGAACTGCAGAAACTTACATAAAATATACATATATCTATTGTTTGAGAGCCTCTCTTGTAGTTTACTTTTCAGATATGAGTGCACTGTCTGTCTTGTCTCTGATAAAAGAGGGGAGGGGTTCACAGACTTAGACAGAAAAATATTGGTGATCATTTTGAGAATAAAGTCTAAATGTGCAGATTACAGTTGTTGTTTTAAGATAAACTGCCAAGTTCGTTATACCATCTACAAAACGGCTTGTTTAGATGTGTTGGCAAAACAAATTGATCTGCCATGTTGTGATAAAACAACATCCTGTTTAGTGCACAAGGGTGTAATCCACGACATTCTTATATCTGTCTGCCAGACTTTTCATTTTATACAAATACACTCTCCCACATTTTTTTTTCTCCATCTGATCAGACGCAGGTTCCTGCACCATCTTTTCAGCATCCCTATACTTATCACCACAGAAATCATTTCCTTCCTTGTTACTAAAAGTGATTCTGAAGTGCGATTTCACAAGTACAGCAGCCGTGGCACTTTGTCTTGAAACAACAACCGTTACCTCCACATTTTGACTTCAAGACTATTTCAACAGTTTAAATGTAACGTCACAAAGTGTTTGAAGATTTCCTCCCGATCATCTGAATCGTTGTCAGTTTCAGCCCCTGAGGGACTCCTGCGTTTAGAGTAGACACTTGTCTGTTGATATTTTAAAATGAGATTGTTCATAAAACAAAACGAGACAAGAAACATTTTATTCGTCCCATATTTAGCAAATCCATTTGTCTGTCTTTTGTGCTGTTTTCAGTTAAATAAGAGTTGAGGGATTTGTAAATAATTAGCTTTCTGTTGCATTTTCCATTGTTCAAAAAGTGTTTTATTTATACATTAGTAATCGACTGAGTCTCTTTAAAAGTTAGTCATTATGTCTTAAAATGAGAAAAGCACAAATAGGAAGTTTAATACTTAAACCATATAACTGTAAAAATAATTTTTTGTTAAACAATAGTAGTAACTTAAAGGGTTAAAAATTTAAAAAGTAATAATTATTTTATATTTATGAAAAGAACTGAAGTTACTTAAAAGCTTTATGCAGAAAAAATGGCAAAAAAACATAAAAATAATAAAAATTACAGACCTAAGTGATTTTGAACAAACCCAGAGGGTTAACAGACTGATACTACGGCAGATAAAAGCACTTTTGGTTGCTCCCTTATTTCTACAGGGCTTACTACAGCTGTTGGATCTGCATGTTTGATTTGGCAAACATTTGCCGGATGGCTTTCCCAAAGCAACCTTTCCAGTAAATGTAGGCGTGGAACTAGAGTGCAAACTATGGCTGAAAATCCCTGGGAGGAAAGCTAACCTCTGAAAACAAGTAACCCGGAGATGATGTGTTGCTTTCCGGTATCCAGCAGACTGCACACGAGGTGTACAAAGTCTTGTTTGAGGGTCTCTGACAATGGTTTAAGCCAGTAGTACTGACATGAACAACTGTTGCTGAGGCTTTGTGGTGGGTTTCCAACAGCTGCAGAGCGGTCAGAGTAATATCCTTCACACAGGCACTGGGATGGCAGAAGGTATGGCCACCGCGCACCGCCACATGTCGGAGCATAGAGGTGCCGAAAACAAGCACCGTGAGTAAATGTTCAGTACTCCAGTGTTGTTGAAATGGGAGCTTTCTTTGTTTAGTGTTGTGAATATTAACTATTTAAGCTACTGCTGAGGGGAGGGGCTGTATGTCTGCCTGTCTGCAGCTATGCAGTATCAACTTGGTAGCTGGAGGCATCACAGAGGGTGCTCTTGGTGTCACTAGTGTTCCAGTTGAACATCTAATCCAGGGGTGTCAAACTTCAGGCCTCGAGGGCCAGTGTCCTGCAGGTTTTAGATCTCACCCTGGGTCAACACACCTCAATCAAATGATTAGTTCAGTACCAGCCTCTGGAGAACTTCAAGACATGTTAAGGAGGTCATTTAGCCATTTAAATCAACTGCGTTGGATCAAGGACACATCTAAAACCTGCAGGACACCGGCCCTCGAGGCCTGGAGCCCGACACCTGTGATCTAATCCAATTTAGGAATTTATTACTTTCAGTATCAGTCGGTTTTTAAGTGCTAGATGGCTCATTACCAAGGTGTTACACAAAAAAACATCTTGTGACAGGAAAAACCAATGAGCTTTTGCAACACTTTATTGTTGCTAAACATATTAATGTCACTGGTTACAGAAGAATTGATAAACCACTGAAGATTTCAGTGAGCGCTGTTGGGTCCATAATCCGTCAGTGGAAAGAACATCATTTTACCATAAACCGGTCTTGAGCAGGTGCTCTCTGCAGGATTCTAGACAGAGACGTGCATTACTTAAAGGGAAGCACCTGATCGTGGCCAGTTTCTGCTCCCGATTCAATGCAGGATGTTAACCAGGAACAAGTCATATGGAAAGAAACAACGAGAGGAGGGGGGCCAAAAATCATCATGTGAATAAATGAGTGGAGTGAAAAACTAGATTATTTGTTTTGGTGCCAAACCACCTAGTGTTAAATGTTAATAAAGTAAATTAATGATGCCTGTAACTGGTTTCATGGCTTTCCCATAATTTAAAACCGTCCCAGTGATCTGAGATCCTTTTGTGTGCCTGTTGATCAAATAAGCATGTGAGCATTACTGTGAGTGTGCGAGTGGGAAGCCAACCCCGAGCACAACTCTTTCCTCACACTTTCCCAATACAGTTAGTCATATGCTGTGCAGAACCTGATGCATCATAGTGTAGTCTTTCACTTCTGTAACCTCCTGACAAACATTTCTGTCTAATCAGGTCATTTTGTATATTTTTAGACATCCAACGCACCGGCTCTCAGGTGAAATTCAGGGCACGCCGCTTTAGGATTTCATATTTCCTGTTTTAATGGAGTGGAGGCGGCTACATTTCATTATAAAGCTAAATAAATAAAAAGGGTTGTGATACTGAGGCTTTGGTGTGAACACTGAATGGATAAAGTGTGGGCTTTTTATAGTGGGACCTGTCAGTGCGTTGATTAGGTTGCCTGTCACTGATTGCCTGCACATTTTGCATTGACTCTCTTTTGAAGGTAGTCCTTTCCTGGTGTTAGACAAAGGGACCAATGATGTGTCCGTTGGCTAGTACACAGGATGCAGTGTGTTTATAGTGCATTTATCTTCAGATACCGATTGGTTCCTACAGGTTCAGAAAATCCAAAGGTGTGTGTGCGTGACACGTGCAGAGAGTTTGCTTGTGAACTTGAAAGTATATTTGTCGGAGTAGGCTTACTCTTATTGTCCTTCCTGCACTTTACTACCAACCTACCGAAAACTGACTGCAGTGCAAAAAAAAGGGAGGGCGCAAGAGCAGAGATGGTTCATTCAGAAACAAGCAGAAGTCTGCACTGCACACACAGACCAAGAGAGGGAACAGAAAAACAGGAAAAAAAATTACTTCACACCTTCTCACTCGGTTCCTCCCACAGGTGGTTTGACTACTTCACAGAAGACTGATGCCAGCCTCTGTTGAGTCTTTTGCCTCTTGTCATCTGAAGGAGAGGTCAACGTCAGACAGCAGAGACGCACCGTGCAGTCAAGAAGGCAGTTCAGTATAGGAGAGGAGGCTGTCGCTGGATTCATACGGTGAAACTTTCTTTTGCCGGTAAGTGCTAGAATAATCATTCAGGTCACAGTTTGCCCCCCTCCCCATCTCCTTCTCATTTTGCTTCTGTGCTACAAGACTATTCATACAAGGGGATTAGATTAGGTAGAGAAACTGGCTTAAGGCTGCTGTCTGTTTACTGTATCCTGAATCCTGTAGCAGAATCATCCGTGTAGAGAAAAGTGCAGTTTCAACTAACACAGGAGTCCTGAAGATTCTCTATCAGATATAACAGATTAACAGATTGTGTAACAGATTAACTGGTTCATTGTTTATGAGAAATGCAACATGTTCTTCTTTACTCTGTGCATGTAAAGGATATATTATTACTTCTGTAAACGTTGCATATAGTTCCTCATTTCCACATGCATCTAAAAAGAGCTACAAGCTCTGACCTCTGCACATGCAGATAGCACTAAATGGAAATGATTTTTGCTTGTGGCACTGCCTTCACAGCTCGTGTTACAACATTGTCTTTGTTAGCTGTGCATTGTTGCACGTCATCCCCTCTCTAGGAAGGCGCAACTTCCTCCATAAACAGATATCTGAAACCTTTAGAATAAATACCCAATAATGTCTCTCCCAGTTATTAAGGCTGAAGCATGTTTTTAATTCTATTGTGATTCGGGTAAACAAACCCTGTAAATTCATGTTAAGATGTCACGCACCATTAAGCACCCTCCCTTTGGCAGGCTTGTAATGAAGACATGAATGCATTCCTCTTATAAAATATCTGCGAAAAAAAATAATAATAAAAGGAGCGCATCATGCAGGCAGCAAAGTAATAAACTAGATGAAGTGTTAAGCGTTTCTGTGAAGCGTTTTTCATTATTGGGCAGAGAGAAACGAAAGCCATTCGGAGCCACTGACCCCATTAGGCACAGGCCACCCAGTGATGTTTAAAAAGCTCTCGGGGCGCACTGGGAGTCGCATGCCCTGCGTTCATTGCGACCCAACAGCAGCCCCACCCGGCACCCCC